TTTGAGCTGGTCCTCAGAAGACACTCAGCTTTGAGCTTTGATTACATTATTCTACAAGTTGTTTTGTTTTGTTTTTCCCAGTATCAATTAGTAGCACAAGATGACCAAACATAAGAAAGGACAGTGAGTGAGGGCTGGCAGGACCATGAAACCTGGGACTCCACAGACAGTGGAGCTCAAGCTGCTAGGATTACATATGCAGGAGCATTTTAGGACAATGAAAAGCTGGATTTGGAAATTTTAGAAAGGATTTAGGAGCCTTAAATCCTAAGGCATGGTGGTGGAAGCCTTTAGTTCCAGCACTAGGGAGGCAGAAACAGGAGGATCTCTGTATGAGGCCAACCTGTTCTACAGAGCAAGTCCAAGACAGCCCAGAGAAACCCTGTCTCAGAAAAAGAGAGAGAGGGAGAGAGAGCTCTCACCTAGTTCAGAGAAAACTGAAAAGTAAAAATGAAAAGAAAAGAGAGATTTCAGTGCAATAAGAAGAAAAAAAAAAGAAGTTGGAATCTGAGCATGGTGATAAAGACCTGTAATCCAGCTCTTGGGAGGCTGGGACAGAAGGATACAATTTCTAGGCCAGTGTGGGCTACATAGAGAACCCCCATCACACACATACCCACACAAAATCTTGGTAGAAATTCTAGAACTGCAAAATGTAATAACCCAAAACTGAACCAAATTAAGAACTCAGTAGAGGGAGGGTTGGCAAGACAGCTCAGCGGAAAGAGGCATTTGCTACCAAACTGAGCAGCTGAGTCCAGTCCCTGGAAGCCATGAGATGCTGGGCCGTGAGGGCTGACTACCGGGAACCCTGCCACTCTGTCTTATCCTGGTGGCGCTAGTTGAATGTAACTCTGAACTCAAGGCAGCAGCATCTCAAATGTCAGTTCCCTTTCCTTCTGTCAACTGGAAAGAAAAAAAAATGTGCTCACTTATACTTTCTTTAATTTAAAAATAAAAGTATTTTAATTAACATTAGAAACCTAAGAAACCTTGGGTTTCAAGAGCTTTAAAACAACTTTTTTTTTTTTTTTAAGGACTCAAACATGTACCACCAACAAATACACACAGTGTGTCCCATTACAGGGCAGCTACTATCTGAAGGGCTGGAAGTCTGAGGGCAGAAAAATGGTCAACTCTTGGTTTTGACTGTGATTTTAAAGGTTGGGATAGAAAACAAGGAGGAATGAGGTAGGCTCTCAGATAAAACAGCAAAAGCATTTATTGTTTGAATGTTGAATATAGAATTTGTTTTTATTTCATAATTATCCTGGCAAACATGGCTGTTAAAATGATATATATGTAATAATTTAGAAATTCCATTTTATAGTTTTCCTATTTGAAGGTGAAATAATGCATCTAATAATTTGGGAGTTGGGACATGCTTTTTTTTCTTTTGAAATGTCCTTGAAAAAAGTTTTTTCATCCATTGATTAAGAAAATTAACAAAGGGAGAGGGAGAAAAAAACAGAAAAAAAGAAAAACATTACAATATGACATAGATGAGAGAGATACGAATGCTTATTATAAAAATTATCTCCACTTTTTAAGAAAATCATGCTTTTCTATTAAAAGTTACACAAGTTCATGGGAACAGGGGGGTAATAAAAGATAACAAAGAAACAAAATTCATATTTTACTCTACCACCCAAAGATAATAACTTTTAACATTTGTATCTTTATCTTTCTAGACTTTGCCTATGTGTGTGCTAGGATATACAACAAAGACTTACTTTGTTTGGAAACAGAAGATTAGGGCTAACACAGCTTGTGTGTGTGTGTGTGTGTGTGTGTGTGTGTGTGTGTGTGTGTGTGTTTGACCCCTGGCTGGCTTGCATTTTATCAGTCTCTCTCCTTACTGATTCATTTCATAGATGCTAAGCACCTCCTACATCCTGTGTACTGACTTAGGGCCAACACAGTTTGGGCCTCAGCTCCTCCACTCCTGCTGTAGAGGCTGTCACCCACCTGTGACTTCATAGGCGGAGACTACTGAGCATGGTAGGAAGAGCTAGCGGAGCAGCGGCTCCTCCTGGAGGACAGACTGGGTCTGTGCAGCAGTTCTCACGGAGGCTACCTGACCTTATCACCCGTGACCTTATCACCCATGAAAGGGTTACTAGACTGTTACTGGGTACCCTGTACACTGAATGTGGAGCTAAGTCTTGCTCCCTGGACCCTCTTCAGTGAATCCGTAAGCAGTCAGCATTCCCTGAGCAGTCAAGATGTCGAATCCAGCCAGCCGCCAAGGCGCACACCTGTAATCCCAGCACTCAGGAGGCAGAGGCAGGAGGATGTCTATGAGTTTGAGGCCAGGCTGGTCTACAAAAGAGTCTGGGACAGCCAAGGCACACAGAGAGACACCTTCTCAAAAAACAAACATATGTTGAATCCTCAGGACAGGCCTGCTAGACAGAATCTCCTTCACTGTGAAAAGCAAACTTCAGAATGATCTGTTCAAGGCTGCCTGACTCAAGGAACGGAGCCAACATTTCCTGCCCCTCAACTGTCTTGGCAGATGAGACATTTCCCTTCAAATTAATAAGCACCCATGTAGCTCACCAGAACAGTCCTGAATTTTCATTTGGGTGCTACTTTATAGACAACAAAGCCACTACAAAAAATATTTACCAATAAAAAGCCCACTTTATTTCCTTTTTTATTTTAAAGAGAGGGTTTCTCTATGTAGCCCTGGTTGTCCTGGAACTCACTATGTAGACCAGGCTGGCCTTGAACTCACAGAGATCCACCTGCCTCTGCCTCCCAGTACTGGGATTAAAGGTGTGTGCCACCACACCTGGACTTTTTTCATTTTCTTAATTTTTTTTTTTTTTTTTTTTGTCTGAAGTGTTTGAGGCTGACTTCAGTTTGATTTGTAGCTCCAGATGAGCGTTGCTTGATCCTCATCCCTCCGCCTCCCAAGTGCTGGGGTCCAGGTGTGCATCACCCTGGTTTAACAAGTACTGTGATGGAATTCAGGACTTTTCCCATGTGAGGCCCTCGCTCCACCAACTGAGCTCCACCCCAGCCCACAAGTTTCCCCTTTATATTTTAAATTCATTTCATTGGAGCTTATTTTGGAAAAGTCTTTACCAATTAATACATTTTATTCCACCTTCCCTGTCCCTTCTGGGCACTCTTTTCCCCTGAGTGGTGAT